TTACTTCACATTACATACCAAATTTCCAAATTAGGTTTTCCGACTACGTGTACGGTGTCCAAATTAGGTTCTCAATATTTATAATCAACCGCCCTGCTTCACCTATGACCTTCAATCCCGAGATGCACTACGTCCAAAGATGCGCATGCCCAGATTACTTCGGTAATACTCTGTCGGCATGATATAATATTTCTATTTCATCGATTCTGTAGTTCGGATATAACGGGTATGTTATTATTTGCTTTATATATTGTTATTTTAAATATGAGTTATTCAAGAGTTATGTACTTTCCCTGTGGTTTACTCGACTTTATCCCGGAGAACGACCAAAAGTGACCTCCATAGTAATATTGTGATCATAATTGTCTGATCACTCCCTGTGGTTAGCCCTGTGTGTACGGGGACGCGTTCGGTTGATAGATGTCCCCACCACAGCCCTGCGTACCCCGGGGGGAGGATCACTCTATATGCCATTACTACCCCATGTGCGTTCCAAATTTAGCGGGCAAAGGGGGTGTTTTTCACCTTCTAAAGCGAGCCCGCGCGGGAGGCAAATAGGCCCCCTTTAAAATTCTAATGTCTGCAATATGCCTCCAGGAATAAACTCACAGGGTTGCTGCGCCCGCTGTAGGTCCCCTCTTGCAACAACCACTCCCATACACCACCCTAGGCCATAGCTTGTTTGAGTTGATCATGGTTTGGCAATGTGCTGCCAGCCCTAGGGGCCTATTATTTTTTAGGAAGAACGCACATGGTGTAAGGTTTTAATATAGAGTAACCCCCCCCCCCCCCGGCTGCGTACCTCCATAGACAAAGTCCGGGAGTTAAAAGTAAGTAGTTTCCTAGCCAAAATCAATTGAAATGACGATAGTTATCGGTAATAACCATTACAAAGTTATCTGAAACTGAAATGTCTTTAAAAAGCGACTAGTAAAGACAGACAAAATGTAAACGCGTAGGTACCGGAAGATTCAGAAGGAAGATTCACAGTCAATTCGTCCCAATTCACTTTTGTCCCAACACATTCGTCCCGCAAGTCGATTCGTCACAATTCACATTCGTCCCATGAGTCGATTCGTCCCATTTCACATTCGTCTCAATTCACATTCGTCCATTTTTATATATTA